AAATTATTAAATTATACAAACGTGTAATATATATATATTCATGGAATCATGGTCAATGGATTTTGAATGTTATTCATAACAGTTAAGCTTAATAAATATTAAATAATAAATAATCGGTTTGCCTACATGATGTTGTCATCGAGATCGAATGCAGAGGACGATATTATATTGTAACCGCTAACCGCTAACCGCAAAGAGAATTACTCTCATAGACCAGCTTATAAGRGGAAGGTCTAATTGACTGATAAGATAGTATGATGGTAAGATAAGATAGTGCGTACGTGATTTAAACTTACGTGACAACACCGAACACGGTGGCCGGCGCCAAAGTTAATAAAATTTAATAATCTACGTTTCGTGTCTTCACATCGGGTTAATATATTTCAATGTACGTTTGACCGTTTATATAAATATATAATATATTATCTGAATACACGCGCGTTAGTGACGTGTCCGTTTGCCTATTAAGATACATGTTTTCGACCGAGGAGGGCGACGTCTCACGATGAAATTGAACGTGGTCTTCCTGCACCCAGATCTGGGCATAGGCGGTGCCGAACGGTTGGTGGTCGATGCGGCCGTGGCGATGAAGCAATCTGGCCATTCCGTGCGGTTCGTCACCAATCACCACAGCGTCTCGCACTGTTTCGAAGAGACCAGGGACGGTACGCTGCCGGTGACCGTGGTCGGCGATTGGCTACCGAGGACGGTGTTCGGCAAGTGTTACGCTCTGTGCAGTTACGCGCGCATGGTGTATGCCGCGTTGTACTTGACGTTTTTCAGTTCCATCAATCCTGATGTGGTGTTCGTGGACCAGATATCGGCGTGCATACCCATATTGAATTGGATGCCATGCAGAGTGCTGTTCTACTGCCATTATCCCGATCAGCTGTTGGCCGCGCACGACGACGCTCTCAAGCGGTACTATCGACTGCCGTTGGACTGGCTAGAAGAGAAGACCACCGCGTGCGCCCACATGATCTTGGTTAACAGTAATTTCACGTTGGACGTCTTTAGGAGTACGTTTAAAAGCATTGACACGCTGCCAATAGTCGTCTACCCGTCCATAAACACTGCGTTTTTCGATAACACCGAAACGATACAGTTGAAAGATTTTATGGAAGTGGACAGTTGTAAATATATCTTATCTATAAATAGGTTTGAGAGGAAGAAAAATCTGGGTTTGGCGATCCACAGTTTCAACTTGTTGTCAGACAAGAAAATAAAACTCGTCTTGGCCGGGGGTTATGATCCTCTGAATTTAGAAAATATCGAATATTTTCATGAGCTGGTAAATCTTGTTCGAGATATGAATCTCGATGAACGCGTTATATTTTTGAAATCTCCATCGGATGCCATAAAAATATCACTCCTTAGGCATTGTCTATGCTTGGTGTATACTCCATCCTTTGAACATTTTGGTATCGTTCCGTTAGAAGCCATGTACTGTTGTAAACCAGTTGTGGCAGTTAATAATGGTGGACCTAAAGAGACTATTGTAAATAATCATAATGGATACTTACGGAATGCTGAGCCCGAAGATTTTGCTAATGCTATAAAACAGCTTGTAGAAATTGAAGGAAAAGCTGAAATATTTGGAAATCATGGAAAAAAGAGATTTGATGATATTTTTTCATTTGGGGCATTTAAAAATAAAATAGATAGTATATTAGAAAATTTATATAAGTCTGAATAAAATACAATTTGGGATACTATTTTGTGATACTCGGTTATAAGTCTTACTCTTTTTCTATTAATTGATATTTTAAGTTTATTTTGAGACAAATGTTACTTATATTGATTTAATTTATTCATTTGATTAATGTAAAATAATATTTTATTTATAATTATGATTGCAATACATTTAGGGCATTTAAGTTGCAAGCATATTTTTAACCGTTATATTAATTTTTTTTCATGTAATATTGTTTTTACTGTCATATTTCAAAAAGACATTTTTACATTTTACTATTGTCTAATTAATATCATATTGATATTTAAAATCATTGAAATTRTAACTATACAATTTAAATTTTATWTTTATTATCAATATTAATATCTATACTCTGTTAAGCAATAGAAAGCACATTTTGCCCAATTCCCGCTATTGAAACCGGTTATTCTAGGACAGGGTGTTCCGTAGGGTTATGGAAAAGAACTGATCTTRGTCGGACTGAGGTGCATTTTCTCTCTGAACAGAGTATACTATCATACTTTGTAAAAAAAAATCCCCTAGCACAGCTGAGCAATGAATAAGTATTGATTAATGAAGTGATTTTTTTTTTTTTGAGTATGTATACACAAAAATAAGTTTAAAAAATCCTTTGATTATCAACTTTGACGGTGGTTTTTAAAAAGAAAATTGGTCCTAGTTGTTATTTTGAAAAGTCAACATCAAAAATTCCCAATATTTTTCAATGACCTTGTGAAAAATAAAAAAATATCCCAAGTATTTGACTATAGACATTTGAAATGTTATCAAAAGATTTTCACTGTCAAAAATCTTAAAAATTTAGTACAAGGTTTCTCATGAATGATTCATGTACCGATATAAAAATGTTGAATAAATAATTATAATTGAGTCCGGACTGGTAGTTGACACTAATCACCATATCCAGACGATCCAGAGAAAACACTCCTTAAATATTTTGTACTGGATGTGCTTGTAATAACGTAGAACATTATTATAATATGTGTGTTACTCTAA